GTGCAGGCAAGACCAAGTAGTTATAGGTCCTTCTATGGCCCTGGAAAGTGGCTGAGCATATGAGCAGGGAGTCCCATCTGAACTCAACCTAACCAGACCTGAAATCCAAAGCACGACGCCTCCTTTTCTGAGATACGGCTTCTTCATCTATAAATACAGATGCCACAAAGCACGGCTGGATCACCACCATGGGCTTCTGATGTCCAATTTAAAAATATTTTGTGAGGGAGAGCTTGGTGTAAACTCTGAACTGCATCACTTCGAGGCCCAGTATGCACTGGCACAATATCATTTGTTGTTAAAATACTGAAATGTCTGGGGCACCTGGGGGGTTTGGTCCGCTAAGCAGCTGCCTTCATCTCAGATCATGATCCCAGGATCCTGAGGTCAAGCTCTGTATCCAACTCCCTGCTCAGTGGGCAGCCTGCTTCTCCCTCTCTCCCTGCCCCTCCCTCATTCTCTCTCTCCTAAATAAATAAAATCTTTTAAAAAATAAAATAAAATACTGAAATGTCTGTCTCTATTTCTGTAAATGGCCCCTGCCCTGCATGTCCCCCACTATCCCTTGATCCAGCAATCCAAGAGTTAACGCTTCATACAGCAGGGAGCCTCCAGGTCCTGGCTCCAGCAAGGGGATTGGCTTCTGTTCTGAAGGTCAGTTCCCACACCAAACCAGACACTTATAAAGGATCACCTCTCCCCTGCTGCTCTGAGTAAGACACGGGGGGCTTTAGCCATAGCCCAAAGAAACCCCTGCCGCCCTAGCCCAGCACCATTTCAAATCCTTTGTGATTCTAAGAGATGGATTCCCATGTTCCTGTGACTGCTCCGCAGGCCAACCGTGATCAATAGGACGGTAGGTAATACAAGTACAGAGGTGTCTGAGACAATGCTTTTTCTATTCACTTCTGTAAGATCTAGTTAATATATTCATTTCCCATGATTTAGTAGAATGCCTAAACACACCAACATGGAGAGATCTCTGACACCTGACAAGTAAATAAAGCAAGAGGGAGAAGGATACTAAGTATGAAGACGTGTATCAGTTAAACACACACAAAAGTAATGCATTTTGTATATGTACGTGTATATGTATATACATTAATACGCACACATATAGGTGTATGTTTTTTCACATACCACACGTACATCATCTATACATATTGCATACCATGTGTGACCACTCTTGGGAGTGCTGTAGTCTTTAATCACGCTGGTTAAAACTGTTATGGCACAAGTTCTCTTGTCCAAATAAAATTTATTAGTAAGATCTATAGAAGTGACATACATATTTTTTATTGTTTTCTAGAGTTCTAGGAATGCAATTTGTGACCTATATAGAACAAACAAAACCAAAACAAAATATATAGGTATATGTATATGTGTATGTACACATAGAAATATAAAAACAGGGGTACCTGGGTGGCTCGGGTCATGATCTCAGGGTCCTAGGATGGAACTCAGCATCAGGTTCCTGGCTCAGCAGAGAGCCTGCTTCTCCCTCTCCTTCTGCCCTTCCCCCTACTTGTGTGTGTGTATCTGTGTGCATGTTCTCTATCTCAAATAAATAAATGGAGAAAAAAAAAGTAGTATAAAAATGAACTGGTTACCAGACCTAGCCACTAACATCGCCATGCAATGGAGGCATGAGTTTGGCTGAGAGAGAGCCAAGGGGGGAGAAAACAGGTGTGCAGAGAAAGAGAGGCAGGGACACAAGCGAAGAGACAGAAACAGTGAACTGATGGATGTACACGAAGCCCAGGCCGGTGGCTGTCTATGGGAACAGGGGTGACAATTAAAGCATTTCAAATTTTATCAGCAATGTTTCATCTCTTTATTCTAGGAATAAAACATAAGATGCAAATATAAAAACAAAACCATAAGAGTTGCTTATTCTGAGCAGTGGGAATAGGAGTATTTTGTTACACCAATCTTTGTATTTTTGTCTTTTTCTTATTCCTCAGAAGGAAATAAAGTTCTTATTAACAATCCCTCCTCGTCCACACACTGTGTTCCGGGCCCTCACATGTGGACGTTGGGTATTATTTATGAGTTCCCCCCTTCATCCCTACTCTACCTCCCATGGCCCAGACACCTCAGATTGCCAAAGTAGCCCTTACTGGCCTGTTACTGACTCATGAGCTGTGGTTTTTTTTTGTTTTTTTTTTTAAATGATTACAAATACAGTCATCCATTTTGAGTTCAATGAGCATTTGTCAAATACTGTGGGAAGTTTCAGGCAAAGTGGGCTGAGCGCTCTGTGGTTCCTGCCAAGTTGCTCCTGGTCTAGCAGGACAGATAGATGATGTGTATGCAAGGTAATGACAAGGCCGTGGGACTCGTGCAGAATAAAAGCATCCTGACTAAATGCCATGTGTGACAAAGGAGGGCAGGACTGCGTCTTGGGAGGGCAGCCCTTCGTAAAAGGACAATAAAAGGAGCCAGGAGAGGCTTGTAGGAGAACTGCCACCACGGGGCCCCTTTTATATACCAGTTACACACACATCTCAATACTCAGCAGCAACCCACTGAGGCAAAAGAGGCTGTGAGGGGGTGAGTAACTCTGCTAGAGCAGTTCAATGGCATGGCACAGCCGGACTCTGATTTGAACCCTCAAAGCTGAAGACGGGGCGGCTAAGAAGAGGAGGAGGCTCTCCTGAGTCAGATTCAGGGGGCACCTGGTACCCACACCTGCTCTCTCCTTCCTGCACTGGGATGCTCGCTGGCAACAAAAGATCGGGCATGTATGCAGCCTGGGGCATTTCTTACTCATCCCAAGATGAGGCCCCATAAGCACAAGCGATGGGGTGAGATGAAGAGCAGAGACTTGCAGGCTTCATCTGCTGCAAGGTCAGCCTTGGACACACTTCTACAACCGGCCTCCAAGTGCAGCCTCCCTTCTTCAGGCTGCCTGCCTCTAGAGGAAGGGACACCTCATTTCCAAGGAGGTGGCTCGGCCCCCTGGGGGAGGGGGAGCAGGGGGCTGGGAGAGGCTCTGAGGACAGCTGAGGGGAAGGCACCGCCCTGGATGCTGTCTAATCCATCCGACATGGGGACACACTGTTCCAGAAACCGGATGACAATTAATAGGAAAAATCTGCTCTCGCAGTGCTGCCAAGCATGTCACAGGGTCTCAGCTGGTGGCGCGCCTCCTCGGTGGGGAGCAAAATGCCCCATTCTTCCCTTTGGTCTGGGCCCTGGTGTGTTCTCAGGTGGAAGGAGAAAGAGCTATGGTCAGGAAGTTCCTCCCATGGTCAGAAAACTTCGCATGAGCAATAGGGCCAGTCTTCAAAGCCACGGGCCCAAGGATTCTGCTGAGATTGAAGGCTCGGGGCTCACCCAGTGGTATTCATCTTCTAACCCTGCAGAGCCCTGCCTTGCACTGGGGAGTACTGGCAAATAAAACATCTGCAATCGAGGTGCCTCACCGTGGTCTGATCCTGTTTAAGTCATAGGGCTTTCGGCCAAACTTCTATCCCCTTGTTATAATTTGCCTGCACATGTATTTCTCTTGGTCAAAATATTTCACATGATTCAGGAAAACCTGGCTTGCCTTGCTGGCTCGTTTAGCTTAATCAAGAACAGAAAGAGAGAACAGAGGTAGAGAGCTTCTGAGAGGCCAGTCTGCTCTCCTGTTTTCTACCCTTCTACCCTTCTAAGGGGATCTCCTGCTGAATATCTGTGTTCTCAGCTTTTAGGGGAATCATAGGATATTTTGAGAATATAAGAGAAGAAGTGGACTAGCTCCATTCTAAACCACCCTCCCCCCCACCCCAACCCTATGGATACAACCACACATTTTCATAACTTCAGGGGACCACGGTCCCCATGGATCTCATTCATGTGCCCTCCTTCAGCCCAAGTCCCAAAGTCAAGACCCTCTGCGCAGATACCAGTTCATGCATAGATGCTGTAGAAATTCATCTTTCTGGATCCCGCACTCTCCCAGAAAACCCAAACCTGGATCCTAGCTCAGCAATCTGACAGCTTGCTGAACCCTTCTCCTCATCCTTCCCTACCCACCTCCCATCTAACACCAGCCATAAATGGAAACCCCAGAGGAGAGAGTAGGTCTTGCAATTCGAGTTTCTGTTTGAGAACTGGTACCCAGCCTCCCTGGAGCCATCTGGTCAAATCCATCCCCGAGACCAGGCAGATGGATGCTAATTTACCATGTTAACCCCTCTTGTGCCACTGCCCCAAGCTGAGCCATAGTGGGAAGCCTCGTCCCACAGCCTGCCCTGGCCATCAGGGGGCTGAGGATGCGGCATTGTGGAAGCTGGCCAGCAGATTTACAATCATGTTGCTCTTGGCATCTGTTCTGGGACCCTGTGTAGAGTTACGTGCTGAAATGCAACTGTGTGGGCAAACTTCCCAACACCAGAGTCCACCACCCAATATCTAGCTATGCTAAAACCTTCTCATCAAAACTCCAAGGAAGAGTGCAGACAAGAGAGAAACCAAGGGATGCCTGAGTGGCTCAGTGGGTTGAGAGTCTGCCTTCGGCTCAGGTCGTGATCCTGGGCCTGGGAATCGAGTCCCGCATCGGGCTCCCTGCAGGGGGCCTGCTTCTCCCTCTGCCTATGTCTCTCTCTCTCTCTCTCTCTCTCTCTCTCTTTCTCTCTCTCTCAGGAATAAACAAAATATTTTTAAAAAGAAAAAGAGAGAGAAAAACCAAGTTACTCAGATGAGGAGCCCTATTTCTCACCAACTTCCATCACAAAATTCCATCATACAGCAAGCAGCTCAGCTACATGATGTTTCTCGAAGTCACGGCAAAACCAGGCGGTCCATGGTCTGGCCCCTGCAGAACCAACACAGCTTCCAATCCATCACTACCAATAATAGGGTGTAGACAAGAGTCTCCACCAGGACCACTTAAGCCCACTACTGGTAGGGAGGCCCCCTTGGAGAGCAATGAGAGAGTAAAACAGCATCTTTTGATCCAAAGGAACCCTATTTCCCCCATGAGACCCTTGCAAATGAAAATCCCACCTTACCCTTCATTCCAAATTTGGACCGTCGACCGTACTTGTTGATCATGATAAAGAGAACCACCAACAGGACGCAGGCAAAAGCAGCAAGTCCCACAGCTATGGACACCTGGTAGGGCCAAGAGCAGACAGTTGAGAAGAGTCACAGAAAACCCGAGTGCCGTGGGAAGTGACCCATGCGCCCTAAGAAAGCAGTCCTTATCGGAGGAACAGCTGCAGCCCATTCAGAACTTTGCCACTGAGTAAACTCCTTAGAAGAAGTAATTCCTGAGACCTTCAAATATTAAAAAAGAAATTTAAAAGGAAATTAATTCCCCAAGTGGATGAGACAACGTCCTGTGGTTCAGCCTCTCCTCTGGGGGCCATCTCAAGCAATGCAAGGGCAGGCCTAAGAGGTTTCTATCTACTGTTTGTTGTTTTAATTAGCCAAAAAACTCCGCACTTTCACATTGACATTCTTTACATAGTATTATCCAAAAGGTTCTAGGAGATCTAGACTCTTAAAAAAATAAAATTTAATTTAAAAAAACCTTTGCTCTCCCCCGCAGGGAAAATCTCTGACTCTAAGAATCAGGCAGGTTAGGGGGAGGTGACTTGAAAAACCAACCCAAGGGGATGCTCTGAGCAACTTCGACTTTTGTAAAAGGCTTGTGTGGTTAGCATTCCCTTCAAATCAGGCCCAGCCAGGCTGCTAACTGAGTGGGGGTTTCAAACAGTTCTCTTCTTCCGAACCCTAGGGCTTGGAGCGGATCCTCAAAGACTTCCTCAAACAATGACTTATTCTCATCAAACAAGGAAGGTTTCAACCACCTGAAAGGAGGTCATTCATCACAGTTTTTTTGTTGGTTTTTTTTTTTTTTTCTCCTGCCGTATATACAGAGGTTCCAAGTAAGATAAAATTCCGGAAAGTTAGCTCCTAAAATGAAGTCTGAAAACAACTGAGTCAGTAAACAGCTTCCCCTTGATCCGGCAGGGACTTACCCCAAAAGTGTCTTCCTCTGGTTTGTGTGTCACAGTGATGGGTGTGGGGCTCACGTCGTAAACTGAAAATCAACCAGACCAGGAAGACAGTTAGCTTATCGGACAGAAGAGGCTCAGCCACAGTCCTCGCCTGACTCCCAGCCCCCCACCTCGGGAGTTCCTGCTGGAGAACATCCCTGGGTTCTGCAGGGCTCCCCAGAGACTAGATCCCCATCCAGCCATCTGGCTGAGGCTGACAAGTCACAGGCAGGCTCCACAAGGAATAAAGGACCCTCACCGCCACCCCCTCTCCCCATTCCAGAGTAAATAATGTCATCTGGGATGCATCGTAGGGCATTAACTATTAGACACAAAGGAGGAGAAGAAATGGTTTGGGATCCAGACCAGGGTCTGGATTGGGCATGTTCTGTTGGTGATAGCACCTGCTGCTGACATTTGGCTACCCTCTGCCTAGGCCCTCCTTTCCAAGTCCCTGGGTCTCCCATGCCCTTCCTTTTGCCCCCTCTCCTCCTCAGGGAGACCGGGAGAACCATGGCCCCCAGAACATCCCACTGACCACTCCCTGCCGGCAGATTTCAGAACACAGTGGCAGCCCAAGGTAAGCTGCAAGGCCATATGCCCAGGAAACACCACCATTTTCCAGCAAGGCCTGGATGGGAAGCCAAGTAATCCATTTGTCCTCCATCTCAAATCACCCTCTGGGCAGGAAACAGCCCCAAACTCAGAATTCTCTGGAGGGACATTCTGTGAGATAGCAAGTCCTCTCAGACCAAGGACAAATGAAGGAAGCCATGGACGATCTTCACGTTCATGCCAAATAGTAAGGGGCATCCTCAACAGGACTGACTGTCCATGATCTTAGGCCACACACAGAGCAGAAATGACAGTGACGCTTCTCTTACTCTCCCATGAGAGAGAAAAGGAAAAGTGATAAATGATTCCTCCACAGCCCATAAGCAAAACACCAAATGTTTTAGGGGACGCCTGGGTGGCTCAGCTGGTTAGGCACCCAACTCTTGATCTCAGCTCGAGTCTTGATCTTATCAAGCATCAAATTGGGCTCTAGGCTCACTGTGGAGCCTACTTTAAAAAAAAAAATCCCCACTTAGGGACACACAAGCCTATCAGGAGGCCTTGTGAATCACTCACAAGGTGAGTCTCAGCCAGATTCTGGGGCCCTCTTAGCAGGTGAGAAACACCAGTTTAAAGGCTCCCCATTCTCTCCACAAGGACAACTGAAATGATTAACATGTTCTTCCTGACACCACCCCTTCCCATCCAGACAAGGGGGACCCACAACATGCTCAGGATTTAGGGGACTCCCTGGGGGAAACAGAGGCACAGAGCTCAGGGGGTGTGCAACAGGGACTACCCAAGATGTGTTTCTGCTCTGCAGTTCCCCTATGAGTACCCAAGATGCTCTCAGGTGCCACAGGTCTGGGGATGTGGCCATGGAAGAGACAAGAGGGCTGTGTGGAATCCACAATTACCTAAAGCATCAGAACAAATCAGTTTCAAAGCAAAAGGTAAAGCAGACTTACTGGAGACAAAGTTATCCGTGCTCTCTGCAAAAAAGACAAAGAGATAATTAACAAGTGTAATAAAAGCCAGAACAGATGCACTGTATCTTCCTAATGGGTACGACCTCTCCCAGCAATGGAAAACTAAACTCTTGACATAACAGCCCTCCCCCAAGCTACTCTATTCCTTTAGGAGGTGGTCTCCCAAGTGGAGAAAGAATAAGAGATAAAACTGGTTTCAAGGGAGGTGGCCCAGCCTACCTGGGATCTATGAGATGGAAAACTGTATCTAGACCCAATGTCTCACCCACGGTCCTCCCTCCTTCAGGTACCCAGATGGCTGGGGACGTTGGTGGGACCTCAGAGCCAAGAAGAAAAGCTGCAGAGTGGGCTTCCCTGGACCTTTCTTGAAAATGCCAGCTATGATTCCCAAGACAGAATTCCTCAAATTGATATGTAGAGTTTAATCTATCGGGTACCTGAGATGTTCCTGGTAATCTCTCTCTGAGCTGCCCATCCCCCAGATGAAAATGTGCTATCGGATCTTTCCCTCTAGAAATGGCTCACCTGATAGTGAAAGCTCATTATTAGACACTGAGGATAAGCCAGGGGCTGGGCTGAATGCTTTATATAACACATCACTTAATCCTTATAACCATCCTAGGAGGTGGAGAGTGTTATCCCCGTTTAACAGAAATAGAAATAGGCTTTGTTGGGCCAGGCAGGATCGAGGGGGATGGGGAGGCACCAACAAAATGGGGGCAGACCCTCCATCTTGTTACCCTCCCCTGGGAACTTTCCCATCACTGCAGACGGCCCAAGGACACTTCATGGGGGGAAAGGACCTATGCAGGAAACCTGAACCACACCTTACCCAAACACCATATAAGGGCATAAGCAGTTATTGCCCCATACCGATTCCACCAGTAATATGCCCTAATACCTATCACCCCATACAGACACCAACCCCTTAAAAAAAGCCCGCTTATACTCCCCTGGGCACAACTTCCTGGGCCCAAGACTTCCCCAGCTTCGCTCCCATTGCTTCCATTAAAAATTTGCCTCGACCAACTTTTGCCAGGCCTCTCTATTTCATTTCACTACCAATTGGATTAAATCTGACAGGCTTATAGAGATAAAATGACTAACTGAATCTCGATGAGGGCATAGACTGAGCTGGATTCAAATCCAAGTCTGGGCTCTTAACCACTTCATCAGAGATTCTTCAACTCTAGCATGCAATAGAATCATCTAGAGGGCAATCATTACCATTCTCCAAGAAAAGGAATGAGGGCTCCTTGGAGAAATGCATTGTTTCAGGCCTGAGGCAGACAAAGTACAAGATGTGCCTAGAACATCTTGTGGTACTAGAAAGTAAGAAAATGCTTCCAAATTAACAGGAGCATGGGAAAAGAACATAGAAGCCAAAGTGAAGGAGCTTCCAATGACCAAATCTGGGACAATTTATACAACAAAATAAACAAACACAGCCATGGATTGTTACAGGCTGAATTACATCTGCCCAAAATTTGTAGGGTAAAGTCCTAATTTCCAGTACTTCAGAATATGACTGTACTGGGAAACTGGGTCTTTAAAGAGGTAATTAAGTTAAAATAAACTAATTAGGGTGGACACTAATCCAATATGATTGGTGTCCTTATAAGAAGAGGAGATTAAGAAGGAGACACACACACAAGAAGACCATGTGGAGACATAGAAAGAAGACAATCATCTGCAAGCCAAAGAGAGAGGGCTCAAAAGGAACCAACTCTGACAACCCCTTAAGCAGACTTCTAACCTCCAAGATTGCAAGAAAAATAAATGTCTCTTGTTTAAGCTACCCAGTCTATGGTACTCTCTTATAGCAACCTGAGCCAACTACACAGATTATAAGTCACTGCACAAAATATACGTCCATGAGTCTATACCAATATAAATAAGTAATTGAATAAAAACACAGGGAAAGAAGAGAAAGCACTTCCTTACAGTAGAATCTCACCTAACAAATGTAGAAAGAATGATGAAAACGGGAAAATCACCATGGACAAATACCATGCTAATAACTGTTTCAGGCAAGAATCATCAATGAACACTAAAATTAATGTGTGGAAGCGTGATAAGGCACAAGACATTTACAAAGTTTCAAAAAATCACCTTGCAGTAGAGAACCCTGGCAGATACCATGTTGACCAAGTGGTAGAGTTACCACCACCAGTAATTAGAGGTATAGATACCATGTATCCCCTCATGTGATGTCCTGAAAGAGCACAGCATCATTTCTATGGCGTTCATGCCAAAAACGTATAACTGGCATTTAACTGTGAGACAACAGCAGACAAACCCAAACTGTAGTGAGCATCCTTCAAGAGCGTCCAGCTTGGGGTGCCTGGGTGGCTTAGTCCATTGAGCATCTGACTTAATTTCAGCTCAGGTCATGATCTCAGGTTGTCAGGCTCTGTACTCAGAGGAGTCTGCTTGGGATTCTCCCTCTGCCGCTCACCCTGCTCTCTAGCCCTCTCTTTCGCAAATAAATAAGTAAATATTTTTTTGAAAGTGTCCAGCTCATGAAAGACAAAGACAGACTGAGGAATTGTCCCAGACTGAAAGAGAATAAGATGACAGAGCATCTAACTGCAGTGCATGATCCTGCACTGGGTCCTAGAGAAGAAAGGACAGTAGCAGACAAAACTCAAGTCTGTAGATTCGATAACAGTGTTAATATCCTGCTTTTGCACATCGGACGGTGCTTAAGTAAGATGATACCATTTGGGGAAGCTGGGTGGAGGATACAAGGAAGTTCTTTGTACTGTTTTATTACTTTTAGGGGGTAAATCGTTTTTTAAGATTTATTTATTTATCTGAGAGAGAGGGAGAGAGAGAGAGTGAGAGAGGAAGCACGAGCAGGGAGGAGGGGCAAAGGGAGAGGGAGAAGCAGGCTCCCTGCTGAACTCAGGGCCCAAGGATCATGAACCAAGCCAAAGGCTGAAGTCTAACCAACAGAGGCAGCCAGGTGCCCCAGGAGGTAAATCTTAAACTATTTCAAAATGAAGAGGTAAAAAATCTTAAAATTTTTTTCAAAATTTTTTTTCCAATAAACATGGATTATTGGTCCTCGCCCCAGAATTTCTGAGTCAGGAGGTCTGGGGAAGGTCTTGGGAATTTGCATTTCTACCACATTTTCAGGTGATGCTGATGCTGCTGGTCCCTTTGAAAACCACTCCATTATGTTACATCTACTGCTGTCATGAGCCTACCACACCCTGAAAAATAAGAACTCCTCATTCATTCATTCATTCATTCATTCACCGGGGGTCTTCAAGTCCTCAGCTAAATCCTCACAGTCACTGTAATCATGGCTCTATTAGATATGCACGAGCAAATACTCTAACTACCTGTGGGACAAGTGATGCTTTCTGTGAAGGAGTCTGGGGAAAGTCCTATTTACAGTAAATGCACCATTAATAGCTGGCTTGTCTGTTGTCCATTTTGTGTCATTTGGGGAAGACCAACAGAGCTTTCTCCTAATTCCTGAGCCTGCCCCTTATGCTACCACCCTCTTGTATACTGCAGGTAACCAAATGCCTGAGGTGTGGAGAGGATGGAGGAGAGAGGGCCCTAGCCTTGGCTTCAGAGCCCAAGGCAAGACAGGCATCAGATCAAGTCACAGTTAACGCTGATTTGCATATTTCTCATAAGGCTCCCATTTATTAGAGAATATTCTCACATCAGGCAAGTGTTTTGGACAAGCCTATGAACCCTGTAATCTCCCAATCAGCCTATGTGCTTAACTCCCTTGCTGGAGCCTGGGAACATTCATCCATCCGGGAAGCACATGAGCCTTGGGACAGGGACAACCTCCTGGGTCCCCTCTAACCAGCAGGGGGAACTCAGAATTCTACACTGGAAGAGGATGGCACCCAGGAATGGTCCTCACCTCCTGCCCCACCAGCAGCTGGGAAGGACAATTGGATCCATATGCAAGGTACCATCTGAACATGAGCAGGGTGGGCATGAATGCATGCTCCCCCCATCCCAGACCTCATCTCTTCCAGTCCCAAAACTCATCAAGAAGGACCTTGTGGGAAAAGGCTGTGGGGTCCAGAGGAGGGAGAAGAGAGGCAGAAGCTTGTGTCCAAAGAGGTGAACTGAGAGGCTTCATGTGTGAGCAGGCCGTGGGGAGGCTGCACCAAGGCATCTGCTCTCACTGCCCATCCGGCACCCCATCTGACACAGAAGCCTCATCTCACCTCTGCTGCACTCAGCTGCTGGAGGCTCCAGCAGGGGGAGAAATTCCCCCTGCTCCCCGCTCCCACCAGCAGCCTGGAACTACATTCTAGTCTCCACAGGTTCCTTAGGGCAAAGAAATCAGCCTTGATAGAGGCTGAGGGCAAGAGGGCAGTGATTTCTCCCACTGTTTGTACCCAGCGTCCTAAGAAAATTCTGGTTTCTGCTACTGTAAAATCTCCATGCAGTAACTCGACTTCCCAGAGAAGTAAAAAATAATATATATATATATACTTTTTTTAGTAAAAAATAATAATTTGAGAGTTACAGCAGCTCACTTATTCCTAAATGTTTTGTCAGGTATTCTCAGGTACTTGTTGCACATGCGCATGCAAACACACACACACACACACACACACACACACACACACACAGGCCTTGGCAACATTCCTCCTTCTTTCACATCATCATCTAAGGAACTTCACATTCTCTCCCAGACCAGAACCTTCTAGCCACCACCTCCCACCCTGCTGTCATCCCCAGCCTCACCGGCTCTTGCCTTCCTGACTCTTGAATCCCTGATTCCTCCTAGCTTTCCCACTCTCATGCCCGGATCCCCTCTGGCAGCCCCTCTTAGTTCCTGGAACACCAAAGAGGAGTTAGCTCCACGATTCTAGAACTAAGCTCCTAACCAATCCTGGCAGGGACCCCCTTCACCAAGGTTGGACGCCATACTCAATGTTCTAGTGCCTCTCTGGAAATGCAGAAGGAAAGAGATATGCAGTTTAAAAATAATAACGAAATTGTCCAGAACATTTTCATTTTAATGTCCTACTCTAAGAAAATCCTTACTGATGGCAGCCTCTGCATTTCCAGATTGCTCCATTAAATATATTCATTCCGATCAAATCTCTCCTATGGGTCTTAGGATCGTGCAGAATCAGAAAAGGAGACCAGTACCTTCAGATCTTGTTTTGCCCCCAAAACAGTCACCCTTGGGTGTGCTTCACAAAAATATAAAAATAAACAGTAACTCTGTCTGTGCTTACTCTGTGCCGAGCAGGAGTAAGCACTTTCGGTGGATTAATCCACTGTGTATGAACTCATCTTCGCCACAACCTTTGAGGTAGAAGCAGGGGACTGAGTGATTTGCCTGAGATGACAAAGCTGATGAGTGATTATTTAGAGAGACTGGATCCTGGCAGCACAGATGGCTCCATAGCCCTATGTCTAGACGGTGTTGCCCAGAGCCTGTTAGAACGGCCAAGCTTGGCCAGAGAACGCTGCTTCTAGAACTCCTACCTTCACTGTATCCCTCCATCCCAAGAATCCTAGCAACAGCTGAGAGCTGGGGCACCTTTTCTCTGTCTGGACCCAGGTTTAAACCCTTAGCATACTTCATCAAATCCTCATGGCAACTTAGGGAAAGAGCTTTGGTTCTCACTCCCATTCCACAGATGGAGGAGCAGAGGCAGAGTAGAGATGGCCCTTCATGCATGCAGCCACATACCAGGTGCCAACCCTGGTCTAGGAGCTGAGGCCACTGGTTGGTCGGGTGGCGGATGGGATTTGCACCTCTCTCTGGCTGATTTCAGAACCTGTGCTCTTAACCTCTATGCTCTGCTTGCCTGGGAGCAAAAGGAGTCCCTGTGATAAGTACGATGTCTCAACACTCTCAGGGCAAAAGAAAAGAGCAGGAATCCACGGAGAGCCTTCTATCCAGAGCTCAGCAGGTATAAGGTTTACCGCCTGCTCCTCCAGATAATTTACTCTCCTGACTGTTTAGATGTTTTGTCATTTGACACGACCGGCCCATCTTTTCCCTGTCACTGCCTTTTCATCATCCACTGATTCCTTTAGGTTCATAAAACAAGAAAACCTTCGCACAGGGCGGCCCTGGCAGGGTGCACCTGGGTCTGAGGAAAATGCTTTGGGGAGGACTGTTTCCCTTCAGGTGGCTCTGTGACTCTATCTCCCACCTCCTGGGGCCAGAGCCCACCAAACAGCATGGTAGTGGACTGCAAATGAAGGAGCACTGAGTCACCTGCAGGCTTGTTAAAACACTCCAGGGGTTCTGATGCAGCAGGATGGGGGGGGGGTGAGGTGGGGACTGGAGAATCTGTGTTCTAACACATGCCCAGGTGATGGTAATGCTGCTGGTCCGGGGAACCCTCTTTGAGAACCACTGTCCTAAGGAGACTTGACAAGGTAGCAAAGGGCTGCTGTGTCTCTTGGAGACAGAAAAGGTATCTGTCCGGCTGGGAGGAGATAGAGAATTGCTCTTAGGACAGCCTCTATGGGGAGGAGTCCAGAGTGGCTCACCCTCCCTCCAGAGCATTCCTGGGCTCTCTACTCTCTGCAGTCCCCAGGAGCTTCCCTTTGTAAACAAGCATTGCTTCAGGGGCTTCATTCCTTGCCCATCACGGAGTGTACATTCTGCTCTTTAAAAGCACAATTCATTCTCTCATCATTAGATGGACACAGGCAGGGCAAAAGTGCTTCCTCCCTAGCCCTTCATGCCAGCAAGGCCTAGCTTGACTGGGTGGCCCACAAGAACAAAGGATGTCTGCATCTAAAGGCTGCTGCTTCACAGCAGGACTCTTTCAGCTCCCAGAGCAGAGAGGGGTGTGGCCCGCGGTGGGGAAAGTCCTGAGACCTTCTACTGGGCCTCAGGGGATGATGCTAGAAATGTTGGGCCAGATGGGACTGCCAGGATCTTACACATCAGCACGTTCTGGACCCTCTCCCGAGCCCATGGTGCTCCATCATCCTTCCCTTGGACCTCAGCGGCAAGAATCTGGCCTTCCCATGTAGCTTTCACTCTGGGAGCTTTTAGCTGGGATTTCCTTGCCCTGAGATAAATAAGGCCTCCTGGAGCTGCTACCCGTTATACCCGTCCCATAAGCAGATGGGACACAGTGCTGGCTCCTCCTGCCCACCCCACCCCCGTTTCCGTGTGTGTGTGTGTGTGTGTGTGTGTGTGTGTGTGTGTGATGGTTCTTCTCACTCAGTAGAGATGGTTCTTCTATCTCAGTAGAACCCATGAGTTCTGGAGACTGAAGGTCATCCAGCCTGTTCCCAGCAGAAATCACCAAAGTCACCAAAGATACTTGGTTTCACAGACAAAGCCCATCAACTGCTGAAGGCACCAGGAGATGGTACAACCCCATACACTAAATCCTCTGGGTGTTTCCTTCTGCAACTTAGGAAAGTATCTGAAATACTGAAGCCCAGGCAGAGACAGAGTGACCTCCCAAACAAACAAAGTTCTTTCATTACTTCAGTTACTACCCTTGGCTCAGCTGACGTTAGCACCAGCACAGGCTGACGGCATCCGGTACTGGTGCGAGTGTACCACAGAACAAGAGAAAAGCTCTGAGTTGGCAGCCTACTCCCTAGCCAAGCCTTGCTACCAACCAGCAAGGAGAAGGAGGTTTAGCTCACACATCTGTTAAAGATGGGGTTGAACCATAGAGACCCCGAAGCCCCTGCAATGGAACAATGGAAGGTCATCAAACCATCATTGTGTCCCAAAGCCTGTCATAGGTGCTTTGTGGACCGGAAGTCATCTAAGAGCCATGTGATTCTTACAGGAGCATTGTCATCGGACCCATTTCACAGATGAAGGCAAGTGAGGCTCAAACAAGCAAACTATGGTGCCCAAGTTTTGCAACAAATAAAGGACTACGTCGAAATTCTCTTTCTTGTCTGGCTCAGTCCCTTCCTCTACCAGAATAGGGCATGTCTGTCTGTGCGCAAGTGCACATTTTTGAGGGGATCTGGATTTTTCCTCTGGAGACTATGCAAAAACAGAGGCTTTATCTGGCTTACATAAAATGCTGGTGGGGGCTGAATATGCCCCAGCATGAGTCTGGTTACCTGAGGTAACAGAAGCAGGGTTGACGCTGAGCCCTCTCCCAGGCTGCCCTGCCCTGTGCTCTGGGACAGAATGAGGAGGCCCGAAGGTGGCACGGCCCTCACCTGGGAAGGGCTCCTTGAGGAAGTGGCCGTTGATGGTCTGGTTGGCTGTGCCCAGTGGGTTTTTGGCAATGAGGGTGTAGTTGCCATTGTTGTAGTGGGTGGGCTTGTTGAAGAGCAGACAGCCCTCGGAGACCTCGCCCTCCTGGTAGTACTCGACATGGGTGATCTTGGACTCCCGTAGCGGCTGCCCGTTGTGCAGCCAGTGCAGCGTGGGTGGCGGGTTGCCTCGCACCACGAACTCAATGCAATGCTCCAGGCGCAGCTCCGGCTCCTCAAGGCTCACCACGCGCGGAGGGTCTGTGGGGGGACAGGCTGGCTGACTCCCAGGATACACAGTCTCCCATGTCCCAGAGCAGCTGACCAGAGACTGGGGTGGGAATCCCAGTTCTTTCCCCATCCAGCTCTGGTAAGACTGAGAGGATAAGAGGCTCCCACCAATACCCCTGCCACCTTCCCAAAAGAGGGGAAGAGAGGGCTGTCTTCACCTAAGCTTCCCGGGTCCACCACAACTGGAGGACCTTTGAGGAACGTAACAGAAGGCAGACTCGGGCCAACTCTGGGGTATCCTGAAGACGTAGATGAGTTGGAGGCACCCATCTTCTGAGGGACAGAGACAACCTTTCTGGGGCTAGCTCAGGACTGAGGTGCTTGGTCCTGCCCTCCTAACCTCCCTGCCCCTGCCTCCTGCACTACCATCCCTTTGGTACATGGTAACCCTCCATACAGCAGCCACTCACAGTGCACAGTGAGGGCGACACTGGCATTGCTCATGCCCACCACATTCTCCGCAATACATGTCAGGGTGAAGCCGTTGTCCTCACTTGTCACATTTACCAGTGTCAGGTTGATGGCATGTACGTTGGTCCAGTTCAGATTTGTCTAAAACCCCAATAAAAAAAAATCAGTTTCTATAAGGGGGCTCCTCACCCACCTCCCCAACACCTTTGGGAATCAAAAAGAAAAACTGTACAGAAAGTGAAGGACCCTTTCTTCCTGCCACGCACACTGACCAAGTGCCAGGCACTCTACAATCATGAGCTCAGGAAATCTTCACAGTCACCATATGAGGGGAATGGTAGTATTATCCCCATTTTACAGATGCACAAACTAAGGTATAGAGAAGTTGATTAGCATGCTTAAGATCAGGTTGGCTAGAGAAGAGTGCAGCTGGATAAGAACCAAGCATGCACAAACTTTCCCTTTTCCTCCTTATTCTCACATCCCTTGCTTCTATTCATGATTTAGCTCATGTGGACTAAGAGGTCATGGCTGCCCAGCCTTCTGATGGGGCCAGAGCTTAGGATGCCTACCTGGTGGGTGTTGATGGACTGCAGTCCAGTAACTATCCAGTCTACATCGGGCAGAGGTGATCCAGAGCCATTGCAAGTGATGACAGCGTTGTCACCCTCTCGTACAGTCAGGTTGACGTGGCTCACACTGATCTCAGGGAGGTCTGGGAGGGAGGACAGGATGAGTAAAAAGATAAGCAAACACTTAATACAAAACTTTGTCTCTGGGGTCAGTGATGGCACTTCTCAACTCAACCTGCTTGTGCTCTTGGAACACCCCCAAGTCCCTGAATCTTCATAGCACCTCCCCACAGACATCAGAGCTCAGAAGTTAAGCCCAGCTGGGCTCTCCTACAAGGCAGACAGCAGGTAGGATTGGAGCAGGTGCTCAAAGAATGTAGTTCGAACAATGAGGTTAAATGGCATCTTCCACTTTTGGACACTGGCTCTCAAACTTTGGTCTGCTTCAGACTCCTATGAAGAGCTTGCTAGAAATTCAGATATCCGAGACCCATCCTAGGATCTCATTAAGTCTGTTGGGTCTGGGGAATCTGCTTTTCTAAAAGTACTGTAGATGCCCTTGATACAGAAGGTCTGGAGACCATGCTTTGAGATATGCTCCTTCAGATCTGGTTGACAAGTAACTCACAGAGAGAAAGGACTCCAGTGCATTAAGAAGGGGCACACTTAACCCTTGTCTCCATTCCTGAAGCCAACCTTCTGCCCTGGCAGGCCAAAGAAGGAACAGGAATGAGCAAGGAGGTAAAGAGTAAGCCAGATCTGCACCCAGTGCAGAGTTCAAGACCGGGGGTGTGTGCAGAGGGTGGGGAATGGAAGGCCCTCACTGTGCAGGCAACTGTGCAGGCTCTGAGGGATCTCCCTGGAGCCTGCTGGGGCCGAGGGGGCTCACTCACCACACTGGCTGATGTTCATACGGAACAGGGGCAGCTGCGAGCCATCGGCGTTGATGCAGTAGAGGTGCTGGTTGTTCAGCTTGGCTTCTCCCTGCTCCTGCCACAGCTGCATCCAGCGGATGTCACAGCTGCAGTTGAAGAAGTTCTGCTCCAATCTCCTGTAGGTAAGAAGACAGGGGAAGGGACCTCCTGAACCAAAGATGTGGCCCAGCTTCCTCCCAGGGTCATTGAAGGAGGCCCCCACCTGCTCTTCAGGGATTAGGGAGAGAAAGGATTTAGCAAGGTCTTGAAAGAAATTCTAAAAAAAATACTTGTAAGTCCACAAATTATCTAGTTTTTGAACTATTAAACTCACTTGCAAAAAAATGAAAGCTACTCCACTTAACTCACCTGCCAATGAGACCCTTTTAAAATACATCAGCATGGGATGCTCCTCTTCTCAAAAGCCTCCAGTGGATTCCCATCTCACTGAACGTCAAGGTCAAATGTCTACAGGGTCTGCACTGCTCTCCATGACCTCTGATCTCATCTCCTACCTCACACTCCCTTCCTCTTCTTCAGCCATACTGACCTTGCTGTCTGTCAAGTTCACTAGCATGACCAGCCTGCTCCTGCCTCAGGGCCTTTGCACTTGTTGTCTGCTAGAATGACTCTTTCACTTCAATAAAGAATCATACAGCCTTCTCCAATCACTGCTGTAAATAAGCTACCACTAACCTCTGCCTTAGCACTGCCCAGTCCCCACCCTATTTTCTTCCTTCGAGTATTTGTCATTGCCCAACATCACTTAAAGATTTATTTGCTTGTTTATTATGTCTCCCCAAATAAAAATTAAGCACCATTGAGCTCAGAGAAACTGCCTGTTCATTGCTGTATTGCCAGTAACTACAACTGAGCCTGGCACATAAATACTTGTTGAATGAGTATGAGAGAGATGGGAGGGAGGGAAGGAAGAAGGAAAGCGTTACTCTCCCTGGGTAGTAGGTGGCTAGCTATTTCCAAGATCTGCTCAAAGCCCATCTTGGGACCAGCTTTATTCTTCATAAATTCAACAAAATCCTTACTGAGCACCTGTTCCATATCTGGCTATGGGCTGAGTGCTGTTGACACAGAGGTGAATGAGACACTCTCCGTTCTGCAGGAGCACTCAGCTTAGTGAAGAAGAGCATCTGATAGGGAAAGAGTCCAGTTCAAGGCCTTCCTCCTCCAATGACTTTCCTTGTGACTTAGAGCAAAGTCCCTGCCCCTCGAAATGGAACTATCCCATTAGGGGGACAATTAATGGTATTCATTGATGTAAGCCTCTTCAAGTCAAGGGCACCCAATCTGTCTAAATGTCTGGATCAGTAGAAGGAACATGATTCTCTCGGCTGGACCAGTAAGAAGACAAACCTGTTGGCGCCCAGCAGGAGCTGTGCTAAGCCCCAGGATATTCCAGACAAGGGGTGGAATTCCAAAACAAGAGAGGCGTGCATCAGAACTGATCAGCTTTCAGGAAAAAGGGAGACACTGGTAGAGGACTCAGTGTTTCCCAGCCAGTGGGACACCATCAGTAGAAGGTGCCAACACCTCTGCATGATATTCCTTTAGTCTAAAAATACGCTGGCTTTTCTCTTAGCTCTTTCAGTAAAGGGGGAGGGACCTAGCCTTCACTGAGTTTCTGCTTCCCACAGCCACCGTAGGAGACAGCCAGCACTATCCCCTGTGCAGATGAGCATCCCTTTCTTAGGATTGGAAGGATTAAATGTGCTTCATGTGCTTGAAGTCCCCCGGCTGGTGTGAGACAAAGCAGGGCTTCAAGCCCCAGCTTACTGGACTCCAAACCCCACACTCTCTCCACCCGTCTATCTGGTGCCAGGCACTGCTAGGTGAGAGGGGAGACGCAGAGGAGTCAGCACGACCCCCGACACTGCAGCTCCGGGGCAGAGACCAGGGAAAGAGTTCAAGGTGATGCTGGAGGCTGAGATGGAAACACAGGAAAGAAAAGCCGCACCAGGGCCCAGAGTTCATGTCAAGGGGCACGGGAAACAAAGCTGGAAGGAAGAATGAAAGCCAGACAGTGCAGGACCTTTACTGCCACATCAAATATCCATAGGTTTGGAACTCATCCAGGGGGCAGTGAGGACCAGTGAGACCTTCGGAGCTGGAAATGATGTGAACAAAGCAGATATGTAAGGAGAGCAACCCGACAGTACTGTGCCAGAGATGCCGGCAAGGGAAGAGCCTGAGAATGGCCACCTGGTGAGGGTGCCTTCCACACACAGGGTACTGTGTGGTCAAGAAGTCTGTGCATTTCTCAAAGCACCTGGGCAAAGGGATGAATGGGGGATGAACCCTTGACTTACATGCCTTGACTAGACCCAGTGCCTGGCACGAGGCTACGTGCACACAGACAGGGCATCACTCCTCATTCACATACACATACCAACAAGGGGAGGCCAACAGGCTGGAGGTCAATGTTCTCCAGCTTTTAGGTCTCAGAACTCCTTTTTTTTTTACTCTTAAAAATTACTGAGGGCCTCAAAGAGCTTTTGTATATGTAGATTATACCTATCACTATTTACCATTTTGGAATTCAAATAGAAAATTTTATTTTATTTTTTTAAAGATTTCATTTATTTATTTGAGAGGGAGCAAGCACATGGAGTAGAGGGTGAATCAGACCCCCCACCAAGCAGAGAACCCAATGCAGGGCTCCATCCCAGCACCCCGGATCATGACCTGAGCTGAAGGCAGATGCTTCACCGACTAAGCCACCTAGGTGCCCCTCAAATAAAAAAATTTATAACACAACACCGCATTAACACAAACTCCCATTCGTCACCAGAGAAATGATGTTGTCACCTGTCAAGTGACCTCTGGAAAACACTACACACCTTTGGAGGAACAGGAGTGGAAAAGGCGAGTAATGTCTCAAGTTCCACATTTTAGTTTCCCCAACAGGGTACTGGGGACCCCACGGAACCCTGGACCCCCATGTAAGAACTGCTGCCTCGTTAATAAGGGTGTAGAGAAGATGGGGAAGAGGGAAGGGAAAATGGCAGAGACACTGTAAAAGAAGGCAGGGTGGTACTGAGTGCTTTACTGGAGGCAGAAGGGAAGAGTGGAGATGACACCAAGGTTTTCAGCTTCTAGGAGACAGGAAATTCAAGGAGGAGAGAAGTGTCTCTAGCTGAAAACAGAAGAGAAGGACCCAGTGGAAAAGAAGAGGTTCAGTGTATGAGGAATCAGGATGAGTCCCTAGAGGAGGAAGATGGACAGTGAGGCCGAGAATCGTAGAGGTGTGTGCCTGGCGGGAGGGCAAGATGGGGCCATGGTGGAGACCCCGGATAGAGTGGAGAGAAAATAAGCAGGCAGGACAAAATGAGAGCTAAGAAATAAAAACAGAATGACATTCGTGTCATACCTTCTGCGTACCACCCAACAGCGTGCGTACTGCCCTGAGCACCAGCCCCACTCAACCCTCCAGTTGGGGAGGAAGCAGAGGAAGGGTGATGGCAGCCTTGGACAAAGCAGAAGGTCAAGCTGGCGGCCCAGGGTGTGGAGGACGGGAAGGCCTGAGGATGTGGACCTGTGTTGCGGGGCGGCAAGCACAGGCCTGGCAGCCCTGCTGGGAAGACACTGAGGGTCCAGATGCTTGCATATCTGCAAACTGAACCAGGTCAGCCCGGCTGTTCCCAGATGCTCGCTTGACAAGATGCAGCCATTCATTATGAAGTAGCTGTAAAAATACAAATTATCCACCTGGGAGGAAAAGATTAGCTGGGCTGGGTGGGCTGCTTCGAGCCGCATGTGCTTTGTTCGGTCCTGCCCTGTGGTGTCCCCGGACTTCTTAGGGTCCCCTCACTCCCCCACAGAGCTGACAGGGCCACAGTGTCCTGGGGCATGTGGGAGAACGAGGTGGGATGGCACCGCGAGACATTTCCACCCATTTCCTTCCATCCTTTTCCACCATGATCTGGTCCACCAAGGAGGGACTCCCCAGGAGACCTGGCTTCTCGTTCATGTCGGAGTCTCCTGCAAACTGCATAGAAACCTTAAGCTTCTCCCCCCACCCCTGGGACCTTCCTCCTAGAAGCCAAGATGCAGGTACACAATAGAAAGCATGCCGAGTCAGGAAACATGGTGTCCTGGGCGTCCCACTGAGTGAACTACCCTCGTCTTCACCCAGACCACAGAGGGTTCAGGGACTGGGCCAGAAACAAAGAAAAGCAGCATGTAGTCTACGGGACACTGTCCCTTCTTCCAGCAAGTCAGGTCTCAGCCAGGGCTGCAGGGGCTGTGTCCAGGAGCCTGAAGGCTTTCCCTGCCCCATCAATAATGCAGGCAGGCCCATGAATAATACAGCAGCAGCTGCTTCAGGGCAGAGTTTATGCACACCCAGCCCCAGCCCCAGCATGGCCTGGGGCCTGATCACAGGGCCCTAGGGGCTTCCGACACATTAACTCTGCCCCATTCAGGCATAAGCAAACACCTCACCACAAGGCCTAGGCCATGATGGTTGACGATGTATTTAGAAAACACTGGTTCCCCTCCAGCCATCACTCTGGCGTTCTTCTCTCCTCCGCAGCCATCCTGGGACTGGCCGCAGGAGACAGGGAATGGATGTAGATCTGCTGTCAACCAGGGAAGCATGTCCCCAGGTCCACGTGATTGCCACTGGCCTCCCAGAGATAACAAGACAATGGGAAAAGAAGGACACAAACAAAAGGTTTGAGTGGAGCCAGGTGTCATGTTGGGCAAAGACAGTGCCCTGAGCTGTGTCTCTCACAAAAGACCTGTTTGGGTCCTAACCCCCCGAGACCTGCAGATGTGACCTTACTTAGAAACTGAGTCTTCATGGATGTGATCGAGTTAAGAATCATGGGATGATCATGGGACAAGATCATTCTGGATTTAAGGAGGGCCCTAAATCCAATGACAAGTGTCCTTGTAAAACAGGAGGGAGAGACCAAAGACAAAGAGACAGGGAGCAGATACTAGAGTGGCATTGACGTGAGCCAAGGAACACCAGGAGCCACCAGAAGCCAGAAAAGACATGCAAAGTTTCCTTCCATGTGCCTCTTGAAAGGAGAGTGGCCCTGTGACACCTTAATTTTGGCCTTCTGACCTCCAGAAGAATCAAGAGTCACTTTCTATCATTTGAAGCCTCCAAATTTGTGGTGATTTGTTAAGGCAACCCTAGGAAATTAATATGGCAAGTAACTTCTTCCCTCAGGCTCTGCATTAACATCTGTAAAATGGGGGTAATTGCGCTCGACCCTCTTTCTGCACAAAGTTATTATGAGGATTAGCGATAATACATGTTAACATGCTTTGCAAATTGAAAGGGGCTATAAAGAGACCAGAAATTATTATTACAGTAACACTATTATTAACATGATCGTTCAGGGACTTCTCTGAGAGCCGTGGAAAGCGGTCATGGCCAAGACTGGGAGAAAGTGCCAGGATCAGCCCAAACCCATCCCCAATACCAAGTTAATATTTTACCAAGTCGATTAAATCTGCAAATTACACCAGAGGTAATTATCACTTTGCTTTAAGAAAATGAAATATTCCAATCTGTTTTAATCATGTCTGCTCTGTGCGTGCAGGGTATTAAGAGAAGCCTGTTGAAGATACATTAATGGTCCTTAGGGTATTTCTGGAAGGTTTCTGTGCTGTGGGTTTATATCCTCTGGTGCCTCTTGCCATTGCCTAAGTTGCATCATGGGATTCAGAATCCAAGCTTCCTTTCTTTCTAATTCATTCTTTATCTCTAAGACAATCTCTTTTATTCCTGCTCTGATTTCTGGACAGACAATTCCAGTCTTCTCTGTAAGGAAAAAAAAGAAAATCTTGATATAACCAGAAACTTCGGAGAGCAACCGTGCAATGCCAACTCCAATTTCTGCAAACCTGTGCCACTGAAACAGTGTTAAGTACTCTAAAGGGAGTCCTGAAAGATGCTTCCAGTTCTTGCAATAAGAGAAACACAGCCTGGACCAGTGAAGGGCAATGGGCCAGGGGTTCAGCCAAAACCATACCCTCCATCTGACAAAAGTAAGAAAGAAATGAGTAAAGGAAGCCTCCAGTACATGACAAGGGCTCTGAGATGCTAAGTTGTCTGTGTTTTTTTCCCCCAGTGATTCCACTTGGGAACTCACCATCTTGAGAATGGTTTCCAGAAGGAGACAGTAAGTATGGGGTGGGGGTTGGGAGGGAGGGTTTGCTGAGTTGATTAAGGAAAGAGCACTCATCTTTGAAAACAGTAGACCTGAATGGTGGTAATGCTAATTATCATAATACTAATTCGTTACCATTTGTAAGCTGTGATCTTGGACCAGTTGTTTAACTTGGCCAAGCTTCGATCCCTCATTTGTAAAACTGGTTATATGATACCTTCCAAGTGGGGTTGCTCCAAAAATAAGACAGGACTTTGTTCATAATAGGTGCTCAATATATGGTTCTTTTGTCTCCTCTATTGTTGGAAAGTCATTCTGATGGAGAATTCCAAGAGCATCCATTCTTGTATCACAGGTCCTCCAGTAGGGGAGGGTCTGGCTGGGGTAGGCAGAAATCCTCAATGACAGAACGAAATGTGCTGAGAAATCACTGAATGCCCTAGTTTGCCCCTTCTGTTCCTGAAAAAGATGGCTCAAAGCCTCACACTCTGGCTTTGTGATCTTCCGGCTGCCAAAGCACCAAGAGCCATCTCCCCCTGGCCTATCTCCTTCAGAGCCAAGATTCTTTCTTCCTGGAAATACCCAACCCATCCCCACAGCCCGCCCCACCCCCACCCCCCAGCCCACAGGCTCCATTGGGCAGACCCTGGCAGTCTAGAAAGCTCGTGGCAGATGGTGCCATGTGAACTAATCAGGAAGTCGGACAAGAAAATACTACCACCTCCCCCCACCCCCACTTCCATTTGCCAGGAACTGGGATTGTTTGGATTTTAATCATAGCCACAGCTAAGAGCCAACATGAGGGCCCTCCGGCCAAAAGATAAATTTTCCACTCTCAAATTCAATTCTTCCTCAAAAAAATAGACCCCTACCAGGGCAAGTGCTCCATGGAGGGGGGCTTCTTTATTTTCCAATGTAATTTTTTTCTTATTTAACAATATGACAGAAATAAAATACTCTGGGACATGGTGGCTCTCACACTGGCTCACACTGGAGGGAACGTCTTCATTCCTCCATAAGTCACATCTAGCTCACCAGTGTATTGATCCTGGGCAAAGATGAATGCAGAATCCCATGATCCTCTGGGATAAATCTGACATTTTCTTTAAATATATGTCCATGGAACAACTGTTTCTAAAACTCCACAAAACAGGTCACCAGGGCAGCACACCATTGATTTCACATCCAATGATTTTTTTAGAAGGAGCACTGAACGTTTTCTCAGTAATTCAGCCAACTGCAGACTCCAGATGTCCCCCAGAGAGACGCTGTCCCTCGCCTCTTGAGGTGAAGGGACAGGCATTCAGGGAGAACCAGACACAAGACTCCCAAGAAAGAGAGCCCCCAGTTAGCTCCTTTATGGCAGAGGCCCTGACTAGTTCTAGGCCAACATAAGAAAGAACTGCAATCATGCACTTTCCGAGAATTATTGCAGAACCGATCCTTGAATTGGAAACAGATTTTAAGAGGCTGAGAGACAGCTAAGTATAGTGGTCAAGACCTTGAGTCCATATGCTACCACTTGGTTAATTGGTAACTCAAAACAAGGAACTTAACCTTGCTAAGTACCTCAGTGTCCCCCAGTATGAAGTGATAGTAATAATTCCTACCGGATAAACTATTACAAGAATTAAATTAAATAACGTACATAATTCGAGAGATTGCTTGGCAAAATGCCTAACACAGAGTCAGAAATCGTTGTTAGTAGTGATCCAAGCAGTCATATTCATTTAGTGCTAAGGTTTTTTTTTCCCACCTACAAAGATGGGAATGAATACAAAGAATCAAATCTAAAGGTCTGGCATTTAGCTGTCTGTGACATCAGTGATATCATCTAGCTTTTCAGTGTTGTATAAACAGATAAGTATATACTTACCTTTTTCCAAATTTGGTTAGTTTTTAATTAATGTACCTCAGGATCTCAGCTCTATGTGACTAAAGAACTGTGGTCACCACATCTATGTGCCCATACCAGAGGAGTAGCCCAGAAGGAGGCACAAAATCCTCAGAAAGGCAGGCAACCCATAGCAGTATTGTCCTAAACTCTCCGACACTGTTGACATCACTTCTATACTTCTTGGCCCTAGAATGGCCTTTCAAACAATCATGGGCATTCAGGTCCATGAAGATAAGTAGGGTATACGAGGCCATCATCGGGTAATGGGTTATTGGGTCCCTGGATGTAAATATTCCCCTCCCTGACCAGCTGGATTGGAAAAGCTAAGATTATGACTCATCCATGAACTCAGGTCTTCCCAGGTGGAGGGAGGACAAGTTGAAAGGCCAACAGCATGGGCAGAGATCCAAGGCCACTACTACTTCTTGGGAAAGATAATGAAGCAACCTGCATTCAGTGAATTTAAATCTGAGTCACTAAGTAAAAGGGAGCACATGAGCAGTGTCTCTGGAACCCTGACTCCCTAATTTCATCCATGCCTCAATTCCTTTCCAATTTATGCCTTGATTTGTCCCTCACCGTAATACACTGTCCTTCATGCACAGAGATGACCCCGATGACTCACACATCAACATGACTTGTTTTTTCCAGCAGTGGTCAGGAATTCTCACTCATCCATCCAACGTGGGTTTGCACACAATGGCTGGAGGGGATAGGGGTGCACCTATCAGCCTTTGAAGGTAGCAAGACCAAGTAGTCCACAGGTACATTGAATAAATATATGGACTTGCCTCCCACCCCCTCCACCATCAGGATGCTCATAAGCAAGCCAAATAGGCTGACAAAAGATTAGCAGTGCTGGAAAGAACATGCAATCTAAAGTCAGAGGCCTGGGTTCAAGTCCTAGGTCAGCCAATCCTTAACAGTGAAATCTTGGCTGTGTCTCAATTTGCCTTTTGGAAGTTCAGAACCCTCACCTTAAAATGAAGAGATATATTTTATATTGGAGATGGTATAATAACACCTATCTCCCATAATGCTCATGATGATTAAACTAAAGTCATATAAATGAAAGTACACCTGATAACCTACAAAATCCTACATTATGAATGTTATTTATTATAAACTGATACATACTCTTTAGTTAAATATAAATACTATTATTACACCATATCTGTTACCTACAGACACAGAACTAGGTCCTGCTCAGAGATAATATTCCTGTCTTCTTCAGAAATGTGCTAGAAAGAGCATCAGAAATCAAGCAACAGGGTGCCCCACTCTCACTGGACATGGTACACTCTGTCACCCAACCTAAGGAGCCCATTTCAAGTATACACCCAATCACTAAACATGGTATACTCTGTATTACCCAACCCAAGGAACCCTTTCAAGTGCATGCCCAACCTCAGATGGTTCCACTTCTCCCCACCCAACCTCTACCACCACTCTACTACTTGGATGGCCTTCAAGACCAAACTTACAATTCTCGAAGACTCAGTGTCTGGAAGAGCTGCCATGAGAGTGTGGTGAGCCGGTTACTTGATAGGTTTCTGCAAGAGTGACAAATACAGGAGAAATTAAGGGACAGATCTGGCATATGAAAAACCCTCTTGGTAGTGAGCCTGGTTACTTCACAGAAGCCTGGCTTTGCTGTTCTTCTCTCTTGTTGCATTCTGCTAAAGGTTTATCTGCCAGTAGTCAAGGCCACAGATGAGGTTTGGAGAGGATTTCAAAGAAAGGAAAGGGAGATTTTATAAATGTTAAAAAAAAAAAAAAGGGTCTTGGTCATTTTCCCACATCTTGTGACCAAAATAAAGGTTCAGGGAACCTTTTGGAGGCCACTTTCCCACAGGGGGACAGAGCTCTCAGGATACACAAGCCAATAAGCATTCTTTTTCATTTTTATCATTGAGATTTCACTAACATGAAAAACAACCTGTGGGGATCCCTGGGTGGCGCAGCGGTTTGGCACCTGCCTTTGGCCCAGGGTGTGATCCTGGAGACGCGGGATCGAATCCCACATTGGGCTCCCGGTGCATGGAGCCTGCTTCTCCCTCTGCCTGTGTCTCTGCCTCTCTCTCTCTCTGTGTGTGCGTGACTATCATAAATAAATAAAAATTAAAAAAAAAACAACCTGTGAATATTTAATGTATACATCTTGATGAATTTCAAGGTGAGTGTGTACCCGTGAAAATGTCACCATAAACATGCCATTAACTTAAGCATCAACTCTAAAAGTTTCCTCCTTCTCTCTCTTTTCTTTTTTTTTTTTGCAATAACCATTGATTTAAGATATAATCTCAACAAATTTTTAGGTATACGATACAGTATCATTAATGGCCTGCTATACTGTACTGTACATCTCTAGGACTTACCTTGTGTAAGTGAAACGATATATGCGTTTACCAACAAGCACAATATTGAAAATATTCACAATATTGAAATAGTGAAAAATATTCACAATAGTGAAAAAAACTCTGCAGGTCACCTCCAATTTCTTCTATCCAGTCCCTCCCCCAGCAAAGAGGCCCATCAATGATCAAGACATCAGCCTTTTGTTCACACTTCTGTTCTCCTCCTAGTGGCTATTTAATTGTTCTCATTAAAATGTACAGGGGAAAGGAGTAGCCATTAGTCTTCCAAATAATAGAAGAAACACGCCCACAGTTATCACTTTGCCAGTCTCAACAAACAACTTCTGATGTGATAACAGCCCTTCAAGGCAGCAGTTAGACACTGCTGGAGTCCAAGTGACACCCCAGGAACTCTACTCCCGCACTGATGAGAATGGATGGCTGTACGGATGCCATGTAGGTAAATATCTATACACACACACACACACAAGCATGCATGTATTTGTGTCTATTAAACATGCAGGTGATAAATGCAAGCACAGACTCTTGTTTATATGCACACATATACGCTGACACACACACCTCTACTTGGATGATTTCTACTGCAGATATTTGGGGAGAATCAAACGCAGGCTACCGGTAGAGTGGACGGATGAGAAGGTCCCTCTGAAACTTACATTCAAGTTATAAATGAGTAAGCAAGAGAACTACAGTCTGCCACGAATAGAAGGGGGGGTACAAAGAAAGTGATGCCATAACCCGTGTGGGAGAGGGAGACAGCTCCTTTATGCAGGAGCTTAAAGAGGTGCCTTCCAAGAGGGTAACATCAAGCTGAGGCCAGAGTGAGACTGAGCCAGTGCCAAGGTTGGAGTGTTTTGGGCAGTGGACACAAAAAGAGCAAAGGCAGAAAGGTGACCAGTGAGGAAGGAGGTAGGGGAGAGCAGTCAGGGGTTAGGAGGAGAGGGGATAGCCACAACCACCTTGCTGGCCATGGTGAGGACCTTGGATTTTATTTTAAGGAGCAACGGGAAGGCATTGGATGGCTTTAAGGAGGGAAGTGACATAATCTAATTACCAAGACTGAAAGCTGGCAGAGGAGTTAGGAGGCTGTTACTGAGGAAGGGGATTGGGAGAAGGAGGCAGGTGGATTCAGGGAGTGGGGGTGGGGATGGAGAGATCACCGCCAGAACTGGGTTCTGAATTGGGTCTGGGAAAGGATGGAGGAAGATACTAGCAACTAGGCGAGCAGCCAAGTCACTTAATGAGAGGCTGTAAAGGGGTCGTATCTGGGGATGGGGTTAGGATCAAGAGCCTCCCCTTGCAAATACTAAGTTTGAGATGCCTGTTAGACCTCCAGAGAGACAAATCAACTAGCCTGTTGGATACATGGGTCTGGAGGTCATAGAGAAGTCCAGGCCGGTGGGATCACAGAGAGTATGCACAGCCCTCAGAGGGACAGATAGCAGACACAAGGACAAACCAGGGACAGGGCTTCCTCTTAGCACCTGAAGCAGCCAGACCCTTGGTGACAGCCAGTGACTATGTTAGGAAGGCAACACCTATTCTGTGGGTGCAGGGGGCTGGTGGACAAAGGAAGGGGACCCCAGGCTTCCTGTGCCACTCCCCCTACACCCAGCACTCTGTACAGAGTCCTCAAGCCTGCACAGCGCTGTCTAGGGTAGGCCTCCCACATCCCAATTCCTGCCCGCGGAAGGAAGAGTAACACACGTGACTCACCAAAAGCTCATAAACCTTAACCTGCCCACATGCTCAGCTTCACAAAACCCTCCCACTGGTCCGTCTTGTGTCTACAAACTTCCTTCATCCACCGGTGATCAGAAGGAAATGGTGATAAAGGAGGACCTGCATGGTGACCACTTAAAGACATCAGTGGGGTGCAGCTCCCCAACCCACCTCCTGCTCAGGAGGGCTGAAGCGGGGATCAGGGGCACACACCCAGTGAGTGGCTGACTTGACACTAGGTTTTGCCCCTGGAGCTCAGACCTCTCAGTCAAGGACACCCGAGTCTAGGACACTCCCCACCTCAGGAGTCCCCATTACCTTTAGCTTCTTAGCTTCTATTTGTTTCAGCAAATGCGAATGACTCACCCAGGTAGAAGTCTTCTGTTTTGTTTTCCTGGCTCACTGTCCACACACGACTACAGCAGTGGCAGCAGAATCAGATAAAGCCCATCTGCCTTATGTCATCTCTGCCTCGACCTAGCACCACCTTGAACAGAACCCCCAGGTCTACAGCGGAGCAGTACCCCATGAGAGTCAACAGCCGGGAACCCCAGATTCCCTGAGCCCTCAGAAGCAGCCTCGCCTGCCTCTCCCCCCACCTCGCAGCAAGAAGCAGGGCAATAGCCCGGAAAACAGGAGTAATCCAGGTGAAGTGGGGACCCTGCCCATCTCTGAGGAAGGACCAGCCTCGGGGTGTGTCAGGGGTTCCTGGGGAGCCTGAGGCAGGGATCAGCCTGCCAGCAATGTCCTTTCACAAAGGTCATGTTTTGCTACGTTAGGCAGAAATGTCATGAGAAAATTGGATTCTAGAAGAAAGAAAATAACAGGCATTCTGGGCAAATAAAGAATAAGAAATAGCATTATCTCCTTATTACAAATTGGAGGGGGGAGGGAATCTGGGACATTCAGCAAGGGGGAGGTGGGCCCCCTGTTCTCCTGAGTGGGGGGGATGGTCCTGGCTTCATCTCTTTCCTGCCACACCCTCCACACCGCACCCAGAAGAGAAAGGATCCTTGGATTAGTCCAGTTCTTCAGGCAGATGGAGCGGCCACTGCAATACTCACGGGGTCTGTCTAGGACTAAAAACTCCCCTCCTCCCCAACTGCCCCCCTGGGACACAGCCCGCCTTCTCTCATTGGAGGGATGCCTGCCCTCGCTCCTTCTGCAGCCGGGCCACTCCCCTCTGCTCACACCTTCCTGCCTCGCTGAACTACCAGGACAACCAGCAGCTGCCCTTCACCAAGGGCTTATGAAACACCAGGCACTGTGTTCAGCACTTTTACATTCATGACTTCATTTAATATGTACAGCAACTGTGCTGGGCAGGTGTTACCATAATCTCCACGGTCGAGTTGAACAGGTCTGAGTGGCCTTAATGCAAAGACTCCATCAACAAGCAACAAGCCAACACACGCAGGAACATCTGCAACCAACACACAGACGTGTCAATTCCCAGGTTCCCACACACCCCTCGGTGTCAGATGCCAGAGACAGAGACACCATGGCACGACACAAGTCCCTTGAGGAGTGCAGTGCACACAATCCATACAAATGTGCATGGTGCCCTGCCACAGACACACGGGGGAGCGATCTAGTCCCAGAGACAAATATATACACAAAAGACAAGTAAGGCAAGTGCACAGTCACCACAAGACAAGCAGGACACGCCTCTGGCCATGCTGCCCTCACAGGCATTTATTTATAAATGTTGACGGTGCGGGGAAATGAGGACGCTAAGACACGGAGCTTTAATAGTCTTACCACCCATTCAGAACTCACTACCCCTGATTTTCCTCCTGGCTCGTACCTCACCTGTATTCACCTGCCACCAAGAATTGATGGGCGGTTATCCCACTCATCAGACCAGGGCCCATCCTGCCTCTGGGCCCCACGGCAGCCTCTTCCCTAACAGATCCATTATCTCCCAGTTCTGACTTTTGCTTGGGTCAATGGCCAGTTTCCCAGCCACCTGACCACGGGAATTAATTTGGTGAGCAAGATTTTTACGAGATGATGCATCAAACACTTTCCCAACACCAGGCTCTGCGACATTGCCCCCGTATCCCTCATCTGAGACTTCCAAAACAAAGCCATTAATTCTGTCCTGCACTACTGGCTCTCTCACAGCCCCAGCTCCGGGGCCCAGAGTAATGAACAATGACAACGCAGCCACTGGAGGCTCTGGGAACAGGGAACCAGACACGCAGATGGCCAGAATCTGACCCAGAAAAAGGACAGGGATGAGATGGCTCTTCCTGTGTTAACCCCTTGGTGAACACGGGTCCTTCCAGGCTGAACACCTCAGCACAGTAAGCGGTCCCGCAATCTTCCTAAAGGAGTCAACTGACTGCAGCAGGATAGATCCCACGATTGGGGAGGATGTCACCCTCCAGCATGGGAGCACTACTGTCCAACAAAAGGGTCACTCAAGATAGACCCTGGTGTCAAGAAAA